TAGCTTTGTAAAGGTGAATGCCATTCTGTGTGACTGCCTGTTAGATAAATCAGAACAAGATGAAGTCTCACACCTTAAATGGGATGACCTCCTGAGCAGGTGACTGTTTAACCAATGTAGTGTTTAAGTATTATGCAGATCTACTGCATGCAGCTCAAAGCCACGTGTTAGTGGAGCTACTAACTTGTAACTTCCTACTGGTAATACAACAAAAAGTACCCAGAGACCTTCACTTGAAGGCTTTCTCAGTCTTTGCTATTTAACAAGCATCTAGCACTAACTGCTGTTAGTTTTCTGTTTACCTGCTAACCACTAATCAGGGGAAGCTTCCTAACCAAACAGTGCCTGGTTCTGTGTATAATGTACATATTTATAAAGCCATCCTTTGGAAGAGATGGCTGAACATGCCCTTTTCAGGCAGTGGATGTCATCCTGCTCTTGATGTACCACACAACTTCTGCATTTATGACCTAAACCCACCTTCTAGATCCAGGAGGCCTCAATATCTGACACAAGACCATTGGTCCCACACACTGAAAACCTTTGCCTCAATATCCCCAATGTCTTACTTGCCTTGAGCTTCTTCATCACACAATGCTTTGGAGGCACCTCCAGCAGCTTCCTTGATTTCTGAAGCCAGGTTTGCTTGTGGGACAGTGACACAGATAATGCTGAATTTTAAACTGAAGATGCTTCACTGATCTGTGAAAAACACAACTGAGCAATAGCTTAAAGATAGAATTAAAGAAGGATTTCTGCTGCAGCAGAAAAACATTGTTAATACCAGCCTTGCTGTACCGTGTGCACTAACTGGATGTATACACTGTGTTCAGGTGCCTTGAACGACTGCAGCCCTTGCACCAGGTGACATTTTTTGGACAAGAACCTATTGTGAGGAAAGGAAACATTGAGCCCATCGACATAACCATAGCACAGAGATCATCAAATAAGAAGGTAAAAAGAGCTAAAATGAGGGGGTTTGAGCAAAGCCCAGAGTCTGAGAGCAGCTTTGGCAGCTCGTTCCTCCTGGGATGAATGAGCCATGATGTGCTGCATACAGTGATATTTGCAATAATTATTAAAACCTGCAGGTGACAATTATCAAGAACCTTGAGCTGTATGGACTAGACCCACAGTGTGTGGCCAACATTCTGCAACAGAAAGTACAAGCCAGTGCCACCATCACCCCAATACCAGGAACAAAAGACAGAGTTCAGGTCCAGATCCAAGGCAACCAAATCCATCATCTGGCCAAGATGCTGCTAGGTAAGTAAGTTCAGGAACTGGGCTGGGACTGAGCTCTCAATATCTACCTGAAGTGAACTCTTGGTTGTGTTGCAGAAGAATACCAGCTACCTCGGAAATACATTCAGGGCCTTGAGAAGGCTCCAAAGCTTGGCCGGAAGAAGTGAGAGGAAAAATCTACTGGAAGAATTACTCAGATCTTATTATTTATACGAGTGTTCTGCCAACAAATCTGGGCTAATGGAAAGGCCCTCATCATTGAGAAGCGAGTGCTGGAGGTTTACAAGGTCTGAGATTCACCCCAATGATAATACTGCTCCAACTGTTCATTTTTCATAAAATAAAAGACTGAATAAACCCCCTGGCATTATCCTTTTCCATGTATTTTCTGGAAGTTCCTAATGGTGCACTGGTTTTCTGGCTACTTTAACATCCTTGGTTGCATCTCGTAGCAAAGGCTTGGTAATAGAACCTCCGCTGAAAGGTAAGCAAAGTACATCCTACCACCTTGTCCTACAGCAGGCCAGTGTGTTCTGCCATAAATGGTGCATGTCAGAAGTAAAACCCATCTGATTTTAGATTTTAGCCTTTCAAACATTGCCAGGTATTAATATCAGACACTTCAGCACTGAGAATGGACTCCATTAGCTGGATATTTATGGTTTGTATGAATTTTTTATATATATATGTATATAAAAGCACATTTTAATGTACAACATCAACTGTGATTTATCACAGGTAGCAGGTCTGTCACATCTAGATAAAATATTAAGAGAAGATGAATGAACACTTGGGTCAGGGTGCACAGGGGTGGATGTTCTGTACCTCTTTAGCTGAAGCTTCAACACTTCACAGTAGGATTAAGAAAGATTCCTGTATTTTCCCTTTGGACTTCACACATTAAAGTTCCATAGGAGGGCGCCAGAAAAAGAAGAGACTCCTTTCATTACTGACAGTTTTATTACCGTTGTCTTTTACACTGTCTGCATATGAACAAGGAGTTTCAGAACCTTCAAAAGAAGCTGGAAGTGAGGCATTTTTTAATAAAAATGCCATAGAATTACTGGGGGAGTAGTAAAAATAAATTACAGCATTGCAAAATGCATCTCACTTTGCCATAGAAGCTTTGCTAGTCCATTCTATACACATTATTTTACATGGTTTACAAGAGACATGAAAAATAAACTCACACCAACTAGGCAAGACAAGATGCTAAACCAAAGGCACTGCCAACAGGATTTTGCGCTTCAGGGGCTGACACTTGCATCCTAAACACAGAGAGTTTGAGTTTCCAGATCTACTGATTCTTCAGATGCCCCCATATCTTGAAAAACCAAAAGAAACAGCCCTCCTCGCAGGAGGTTTTCAGCAGCATTCACAGTAATTGCATAAGAAGCCATGCCTTCTACAAAGACATGCTGGGTTCCAGGGAGGGAGAGGGGAACAGTCACCAAAACTCAACAACAAAAGAAGAAAGCTTTACAACTTTTAGCCAGAAAGGTTTAAGGGGTTTAAAACCAAGCATCTGGGTCTTACTTCTCAGAACCAACGGCAGTTTTTACAGTGTTCTTCCTCTGGACTGAACAGAAGTATTTATACAGTGCTTTGCTTTGAAACTCAAAGCACTACATCAATGATATTTAAGTTACTTCACAAGTGCATAGTGAAGTCATAAGTATTCTTCTAAATGGACAAACAGCCCCAGAGCGTGCAAAGTGCTGCTCCAGGAGGACTGCTGCACGTTGTTAAAGGTCATTGGGTGTAGAGTACAGTACAGCTGGGAGGCCCTTCCTGCACCGCGTGCCAGAGGCCAGAGCCCTGTTAGCAAACCCTTTCACACCACTGACTAAAACATGAGCTGCAAGGAAGCCTGCAGAAAGGGGCACTGACACAAACCCAGGGGCTTTCAGTGATGCGGGTACTCTCTTAGGGTTTATAAACACACTCAAGTATAAATCTGAGGGGAAACAAAAATAGAATCCCAAGCAGTCACCTTCAAGAAAGAAACAAACAGTTCCTCATCCCTCTGCGGACAGCAGCAGCCTCATCACAACAGTACTTTGGGATCGGAGGGGGACAGGAGTGACAAGGCCTCTCAAAAGCCCCTTCCAGCTTCCTCCTTAGCCCAAATGCAAACGTTTTACACTTAAGGGGGGGAAAAAAAGGCACTGAGGTAAATTTTGGACTCTTCCACATTGTCCCTGTGGTCGCTGTTACCCACTAACTTGTGGCCTCCCTTCCCATGTCAGGTGGGATCACCGCAGCCTACAGCGAGCTCACAGGAACACTTGCTCATCGAGCCAACACAAAACCCTTTCACATGCTCCACCTGACTCCAGCGGGTATTAAAGTCCCTTTTCTCCTTACACTTTGTGGTGTAAACCAAGGGAAGACTGACCCTGGCTGTGAGCAGTGTGCTCGGTACAAAGCACTGAGCAGAGTAAACACAGGAACCATCCTCTGACCAGCATCCCCACAGCCTTCCTTGCCCTGCAGACACGGCATCAGCAAGACCAGGGGCTCTGGTTGGAGTTAGGGCATCAACTGATGCTCCAGCTCAAGGATCTTTGTGAAGTGCATGGGTCAGAGATGGCGGGAGCCCTGAGAAAGGGAGAGAGACTTGTTGTCCTCTCCTAGCTCCACATAGAGAGCAAAACCTGGTAACCTTCCTGGGCATGCAGGCAGAGCACCAATTGCACGTGGGGAGGGAAGGAAGGAGAAGAGCACATGTACAGAGCAGCACAGGGAGGGTTAGTGGGAGAAAGCGCATCAGAGGTGGGCAGAAAGCACCTGAGGCTACTCTTACTCTTCCCGGTGTGAAGGCTCCTGGTGCCACCTTCACACCCTGGCCCTGGTTGGAGCTCCTCTCCCTCGGTGCCAGACCTGGTCATCAGTTTGACTTACGAAAGGGCTTAGGGTTGACTTCTCCTGGGTTACTCTGTTGGATATGTATTGCTAAACGATCAGTACTGAAACAACAGCCCCAACCATCACCTTTACACCTTTCAAGCAGAACTTCTTAAAACATGGGCCCCAATTCCTACAGGGTAAAAAGCTGGTTAAACACCAGCTAACTTGGCTGAGCACTGGGGGGATGTGCTTTCATTCACTTCTGTTTTCACTATTGGAAGTTAAATAGAATCAAACCAGATAAGTTTTCCTAGAATTAAGATTACCAAGTTTCACTAATAGGTACTAAGGGACTCTGTGGGTGTTGCAGCTGCCTTGGGGTCAGAACTTGACATTTCCCTGCCTCTCTCAGCCCTGAACAAGCCCATTACCAGCCTTAGTTACGGCTGCAACACCCACATGGTTTGGTGCAACCTCCTCCTGCTTCCTCTGCTCTGCTTATGAAACCAGAACTCGTCCACGTGGGCACACGCAGCGAGCTCAGCACCTCCACACAGGACACACAAGCCACAGGGAGGAGCATCAACAGCAAGCGAGACCCTGCTCAAGACATTAGCCAGTAGATGTTCCTGTTGGGTTGCAACACGGAGCATTTCCCATGGAGCTTCTCTGATGGTGCTTGGTTGGTTGAGCAGCGTGGGTTGAAAACAGGCTCCCCGTTCTCTGGCCCTGGGAGAAGAGCTTCCAGAAGGAGGAAATGCAGGATGTTCATTTGGAGGGCTGTGAACCAGTCCTTCAGGAGAGGATGAAGAGGGAGGGTGACCACTATAAGGTGTCCTGAGAAGTGTCTTTTCATTTTAAAAGTACTATCTAGCTTAGTCTGATGCCCGGTGCCTCCAGAAGGGTTATCCAGGCTTGCCTCTGGCTTCTTTCAAGGTCTGTTGCAGTCTCTGTTTAAACTTCTCATACTTCTTTTGCACTTGCTGGATTTTGTCCTTTTCTTCTTTGTCCAGTATCATCAAGAAGTTCTGAAGCTCTGGGATGGAGAACGCATCCCACTGCAAAACCAGCAGAAACAGAGGGGAAGTGAGCACACACCACTCACCTGATCGATTTCGTGGTGTCCCCCCCCCCAAATTAGTGAAGAGGCACAATAAAAGGCATTTAAACATGTCACACATGATCTCCAGGTGACGGCTGGGATTGCTTAATAAACCCTGCTCGGCGCTGCCATGGGAAGCAGCGTTCCTGCAGCATCTACACGACTGCAACCAAAACCTGACTGTGAATTCAGCAGCAGAGAGTCCCTGGCTTCTACTCGAATCAGTGGATTACTTCTAACAGCATTTAGCTAATCTAATTAGTGAGGATTAACTCTGGGCTGGCGTTGCTTGGTTCTGTAACCAGATTATGGGTTGGCCATCAAAGCAGGCTCAGCATTTTCACAGCTCAAGTTCCAGGGGGTTTTTAATATTAACCTAATTCAGGGGCAATAAATCACCAGAATCTATTGTTTTTCTTATTTTTAACAAAGGTCCAAGCAGTTCACTCAGCTGGTAAATTGAGTTTGGAGGAAAGAAGCTGGTATCACCCTCGGTATTTCAGAAGGCAAAGCCCATATTGCACATCTCCCAGCCCTGCAACACTGCCACGTGCTCCAGGGGTTTTTAATATTAACCTAATTCAGGGGCAATAAATCACCAGAATCTATTGTTTTTCTTATTTTTAACAAAGGTCCAAGCAGTTCACTCAGCTGGTAAATTGAGTTTGGAGGAAAGAAGCTGGTATCACCCTCGGTATTTCAGAAGGCAAAGCCCATATTGCACATCTCCCAGCCCTGCAACACTGCCACGTGCTCCACGACACTGTTAATGTGCATGTAAGAACCAAGTTTTTTTGAAAGAGCCACCAACGTACCTCGACTTCCCCCGTTTCATTTTCCTTCAGCACAAAACTGAGCACATCTGTGTCAGGACCCGCCAGGAGCCGGAGGTACAGGGGGTACTCGGTGAGAGGGAGCTTCTGGAAGAGCACTGCAAGGGGACAGCAGAACCCGCAGTGAGACCTGGGCGGCCAGGCCAGAGGAAAGCTCACGAGGTCAATGGGAGCATCTAGAAGTGGTTCATGCTGCTCACGATCAAAGTGGAAGTAGCCGAGTCTCTAACACAGCTCTGGAATGATCTCTGCTATGTCTTAGGTGGCTTCAGCCCCCTTCTGAAAACTATGAGTTCTCCATTAACTTGGACCTCTGGAGGTCCAGCCATCTATTCATAGAATCCCAGCATGGTTTGGGGTGAAGGGCCTTTAAAGCTCCTCCAGCTCCAACCCCTGCCCTGGGCAGGGACCCCTTCCACTGGAGCAGGTTGCTCCAAGTCCCTGTGTCCAACCTGGCCTTGAACACTACCAGGGATGGGGCAGCCACAGCTTCTCTGGGCACCCT